GGGGAATGGTCCCGCTATTGTGGGGAACTTTCCGGGCTTCTACACTACCCCGGTGAAGTGGGCTAGCGAAAGGATCTGAGTCCTTGCTCCCACTCCCTTTACCCAGAGGCCTCCCTGCCCTTGAGGGCTCCCCTTCCACTCTCCTGTCTGGCAGAGTCCTCGTAACCCCAAGGCTGGGCCCAGGATTCCTGGGGGGCTCAACCCCCAACCCTGCTGTGGTCACCTAGGACAGGGGCTAGGGTGTCCCCACTCCGGGGTACTTTCTCTGCACTGGGCACCTCCCTGACCCACTGATTATTCCATACAATTTAAAACAAATGCAAGTTGTTTAATTAACAATTAATCTAAAGAAAAGAATAAGGAAAAATGGGAAAGGTTAAAGGAAAACACATCATCCTGCTTTGTGGCAGGGAACATCACAAACAGTGTCTCTGGACATCAGGGCACTTCACAGTCTGTTCTTTGTTAGTCCCAGATTTCCGTCTCAGGCCCTGGCTGTGCTGCAGGTAGGCTGCGGGTTGGACACTTGCAATGGTGGTGGCCACACACCTCCGGGCTTTGAGTGGTGGGACCCTTCTTCCCAGCGTCAGCCCCCCGTCAGGTTAAGGTCCCCCTCCTGGTCTGGCCTGCAAGGGCCCTTGTCTGGGGGTGTCTTTCTGTGCTGGGCCCTTTGCCCAAGGTCCCCCCTTGGCTGGTCCCACTTGCTTACCACACCTGGCTCTGTGGCTGCGGCTCTGCTCCCAGCACACGATCTGCTCTCCCTGGGCTGCGTCTCTGGCTCTGTGGCTGCGCCTCTGGCCCCTCTGGATCTGGCACGGTTCTGCTCTCCAGCTCAGCTTGGGCCCCTGCTTTCTCCTTAGCTCGGCCCCACTCAGTCTGACCCAGGCAATTCCAGCTCACACGGAGGACGGGACCTCCCTGGCCTCCTGACTCTCTGATTAGCCTGCCCGCCCTGTCAATCAGGCTGATCTGGAGCATTGGCCTCTCGCCATTGTTCCTGGGGACTGTCAGTCTCAGGCTCTTGATTTGCCATCGACCCTTCCCCTTTTAGTACTGGGAGCAAGCCAATCAAAACACCCCCACTGAATGTTAGTAAGGGGGCAACAGTCCCCTTACATTTAGATGCTGCTTGTAATTATTAGAACTGGGAGCACTGGCTGTTGGGAGTCTGAAAGGACAGGAAACAGGAAGGAGGGGGAAGGAGTTGAGGAGGCTGGGAGAGTTACAGAGTGTGCAGCTACAGCTTGGAGAAGAGACTTCCACTGTAAATAAAGTTCTGTTGAAGTTGTTAATACTTTGCCTGGTGGATACAACACCTGGGCAGCGGGACTCGGGAGCAGCCGCTGCTGCAGCTCCCACTGCCGCGGGGGGAGGAAGCAGCCGATGGCCAAGCTCGACGGCTGCGGCTCTGGCGCCCGGGCCCAAACCCCCCGAGCCCGGGCCTGCTGCGGGGACCCAGCAGCGCGCACGCTGCGCCCAGCCCCTGGCCAGTCGCGTCTGGGCTGCTGCCCAGCTGGTGCTATCCCGCGGCGGCCCCGGAGTGGGGGCAGCAGGCCCCAGCCCCCCCGTCCCGCTCGGATCCCGCAGGGGTCATATTTTCCCAGTGATGTGATAAACAACTTCAGTGCCAAAGAGAGAATGAATTTCAAAGCAAGTTGTTTAGGAAAGAGGAGACCTTAATTCCTCTTTTCAGCTCTTTTTCAGCAGTGATCAGATTAAATATCAGATCCCTACCACCACCACCTTTGAGTGTGTGCATTACAAAAACTGACTAATCTTTGAGCCTTGTATTAAGCAATGTTGAACATCTCCCAGCTGGTTTGCTGTGTTGCATTTTTGACCCCTTTGGAGACTGCAGTTATAGGCTTGTTACTCCCTCAGTCTCCATGCCTCAGTAAATAAAAATAATATTCTGTCGGGGCAGACGTGTAGCAACATTTCAAGCTTCAAGAAAGAACTGGCATAAACGGTTCAGTGGAGGACAATGGAGTTCTGCAAAGATACCTCTATGGAAATGAATGATGGGTACAGAATTCCAGTGGTCGGATTTGGTACCTACGCCCCTGATACAGTGAGTAAACCTTTTACAGATTATTATACAATAGGAAGTTTGTGTTTGTTTTATGAAGTTTGCTGCTGTGCATGAAAATGAGCGAGTGACAGCACTAAGATCTAGATAGTGAGGGTAGGCACGGTACAGTTTCCTCCACAGATCTCTCCATCCCGGCATGCAGCACTTTCTGCAGTTCCAACAATGGGCCCCATGCAGGTCTGCAATGAATTTCAGCTCTGACTTGCAGTCTGGTTAGCTGTTCCATTCATGGGCCCACATGCCCCTCTGCAATACACCTCAGACCTGACCTGCTGCTTGCTTTGCTATTCCAGTTCTTTCCTCATTTAACTGCCAATTTGTTCTATACCGGGTAGTTTTTATACACTTGTGAAGGATTTCTATACTGCAATATTTGGAAAAAGGAGGCAACGCAGCTTATCTTTGTTCATCCAGCTATTTGTTCACAGCTTGTTCTCCATTGAGTTATATCTTCTAAGTGCCTGTCTGACTATAAAAATATGTTCACAACTGCAGCTCCTACTGCTGTTTTTGGGAGTCTATTCCACACCTGAATTCCACATGCTGTGCTTAAAGGCATGTCTCCATGTCTTTCAGAGCTTTAATTTATGCTCCATTGTTTTTCACCCTGTTACTCTCTTGAGTAATTTTGTGTCATCCTCTCTGGGCCATTTAAAATGTTATACACCTCAGTCAGGACATGTGCTTTCAGCACTACCCTGTATTTCAGGAACATCCCTCCAACGATAATACTAAGCTGATGACAGGTGAGTGTCACTTTGGAGTGAGGCGGGAGAAGAAGTTGGTGATCTTATTTGTAACCTAATCACTACTTACAATCTGCCAGCACCATCTGTTATTTTTCTTCTCTCTCCCTCTCTCTCTCTGACTGTGTAGTTACATGTAAATACATGTTCTGTGCCAGATAAACAATAAATGTGCTGACACCATTCAAAACCGTATTTGCATCATGGGGTGAGCAAACAAAGACTGACCTTGAAAAGAATAGGGGACTTAGGTAATGGGATACAAAGCCTTTTATCTCTGTCACTCACTGGTTCAGAGTCCATCCAAATTAGTAGTGACTAAAAATCACTATGTTGTACTTACAGTACTTACGGCCCTCTCACCCATAGATCCCAAGCACTTTGCAATGGAAGGTCAGTATCACTATCCTAATTCTATACATAGGGAAACTGAAGAAAAGAACTTGCCCTAAGTCACCCATCAAGACCCAAATCTTGAAAATAGATTGGCATGGGCAGGCTCTTGAGTCCATGCAGAATCCCTTTAATGTCACACTCACTCATGTACAGGGTTACCATCTTTCAGTTTCCCAAAAAGAGGACACTGCCTTGGGAGTGGGGGAGCTGCAGGGGGGTACAGTTGGGGGGTGCTGGAGGGATATGTGTGTACTGTGATCGGGTATTTGGGGGGCACTAGCGGGTGTGTGTACTGGGAGCATAGGTGCTGGAACTAGGGGTGCTGGGGGTGCTGCTGCGCCCCCTGGCTTGAAGTGGTTTCCATCATATACAGGGTTACAGTTTGGTTCAATGGCTCTCAGCACCCCCACTATGCAAATTGTTCCAGCACCTCTGATTTGGAGAGGGTACTTGAGGTGTGTGGGAGGAGGGTTTTTTGGGGGTGGTGGAGGGGTCTGTGTACTGGGAGTGGTATGCTGGAGGGGATATTTGGAGGGTACTAGAGGGGTGTGTGTACTGGGGGGGTATTTGGGCAGTGCTAGAGGGGGCACCTGTGGCCTCACGCTCGAGATGGGGGGCAGTGTTGTTCCCTGTCAGTGGCAGTGAGGCTGGCGTAGATCCAGGACGTGGTGCCAGCCATCAGTCAACGCCTTCCTGCCTCTCCTCCTCCCCAGGGCTGGGAGCAGGGGCCTGGGTGGGCAGGATCTGGCAGCTGCAACTGCAGAGGAGGGACCAATCAGGGCGTGGAGACAGCTTTTTCTGAGCTTGCAACACCTGCTCCACAAAAATCCCAGACATTTTATCTTATTTGAAAAGTCCACCTAATCAGAGGGCTGTGTGGGTCAAACCTTTAGCTCCTTACTTGATTGTTATTCAGTCCTTCAGGCAGAACTCTCATTGACGCAGATAATTAAGGACCCTATACATTGACTCATTGTGCAGATATCAGCATTCCAGTGGTTTAACTTGTGATACTCTCTGATGTATCAAGGGTTACTGAAATCAATGGAGGTTGCACTGGTGTAAATTAGGACAGAACTTTCCCCCTCACTTTTAGGTGATTAGTGACTAAAAGTATGGTTCTAGTCTGAAAAGGGACTCTGTAAAAGTTATAGTGTGGTTCCATATTATTGTCTTTCAAGTGATTTCAGGATTAAATGTGTTCAATTTACAACTAAAAAAATGTATTTTCTGACTGCTAGAGCTGCAAAATTGACGTTCAACCTGAGAGGCAAGCTGTGTTCTTTTCTTCTTGTGTATCATCGTCAGTAAAAGGGTTGTGAAAGCCAAGTTCTGGTCTCAGTGACACCTGTGCCATCCCCTTATCTTTAATAGATTGGCCTATAGCCCTATAGAATTTAATAGGGATGAAAGTAATAAGATTTTATAGCAATTAAATAGAGTTCTTTAAATGGTGTCTAAAAGCTTATTGAATGTAATAGAAATTGATCACTTTTCTGAAGAATTTTTAAACCAATGTGAGACTTTATTAGAGAATTACATCTGTTCTATAGAATCTGTAGATTGGTTTAAAAATTCTGTAGAACTATGGTGATTGTCAATTAAATTCTATAGGACTTTTCCATGATGGAAAATTTACTTTTTTCACTAAAGTAAGCAGAGGTGAGTGTGAATACACGCAGAGAAAGTGTCTGAGTAAAAAGGTGACATTTTTGCAGTCACTGGAACCACACTTTAAAATATCGTCCCTGAGCCAGACATGTTGAGGCTTTTTCGTCTTTCTGTTTTTAATTCATAGGTTCCAAAAAGTAAGTGTGAGGAGGCTGTAAAGGTGGCTATTGAAGTTGGCTACCGCTATATAGATGGAGCCTATTTATATGAGAATGAGGAGGAGGTTGGGCGAGCCATTCGAGAGAAGATTGCAGATGGAACAGTCAAAAGAGAGGACATATTTTACACAGGAAAGGTAAGTGGGTTTTGTTCTAAATCCCATCACTTGTTCTCTTGTTTCTTTCTGTGTTGCTTTTGGGCAGCAAGAAAACAGTGACTTCAGTGAGGGGGTAAGTCCAAGTTGTAGCAGGCTGAAAGGATTTGCCTGAAACCCCCAACCTGTTACCAGGTGCTAATCCTGTGGGTAAAGGATTATATGCACTAGTACCAGCTGGAGCTTTAGCAGGCCTGAACACAGGTGAATCTTGTCCCCACAGTTCCTCTTTTGCTTTAAGACAGACTGTAAGTTAACTGCTTGATTCAGAGACATTGCTGTAAGGAACAAGGGGCTTTACAATAGCAATCAATTTCCCTACGTATATTTCTTCTCTAGATACAATGAGTGGCTGTTGGGGGGCGTTGCGGAGCTACTTTGTGGGGGGGTTGTGCTGGGTTTTTTTCATTTCTAAGGTAGTAACCCTAATGGCCGCACCACCATGATCACCAATTCCTTCTCCTCATCTGGCCATTTTATGAATTGCCAAAACTATTCATGTCCAATTCTCGAATAGTTTTGGGTCGATTGAAACCACATTTTTTGTCGAGTAAACTATTTGTCTGAAAAATGTCTCCCAGCTGTATCCAGGACTGATGATACAGGGGGGTTCTAAGTCAGAACTGAAGTGCCCAGTTTTCCCAACTCTCACAGTTTTATTGTGAGTCTCGTGATATTTACTATTTTTCTTAAAGCACAACTCCTGGAATGGTGTTATTATGTGCTAATCTCAGCTTTCATTTAAACAAAACAAGTAACTTTCTAGACCCCCATGGGTTTGGAGAGAAGCTTCTAAACATGACTCAGGTAAACCCTAAAGGTTCAAAAACCAAAAGGTAAATAAAAAGAGCCCCTCCTTTTTTAAGTCTCATGTTTTTTTAACCAGATATTTTCGGGCCTGATTCGTGCTTTTTGAACACTTGGGCTTGGCAATACTGAGTGCACCAACAGATCTCTGTAGGGAAGTAACGCAATGACAGCAAAAAACCAAAGCAGTCTCTAGTATATGCTAATAGGCGCCAGTCCTGCAAGCTGCAGTTTGCAGACACCCGTGCTATAGGCACCAGTGATAATGGACCTGACCATATTTTCTTTTCCAGGCCATGGAGGCATGTAAAGATGCAGGCTTGGTGAAGTCCATTGGAGTGTCCAACTTCAACCGCAGACAGCTGGAGATGATCTTGAACAAACCTGGACTCAAGTACAAACCTGTCTGTAACCAGGTAACACTCTGAGCTTCAGCTAAAATGAAGGCCCAGAAGGGTTCATTGTGATTCCATAAAGCGAACTGGAAAACAAGAGTCATGCAGCAGAGCCTGGGAGAGAGAGAAGGGCTAGAAGGCAACCCAAGCCAAGTGAGGCAAAGCCAGGTCACTCTGCACTTTGCTGTGCTTCTCCTTTCTCCTGGAAACACCGATTCAGATAGTAATGAACTTCCATAGAAATCAGACTGTATTTTAAGGGAAAATATAAGAAAATCTACTCCTGTCTTGGGGGCTTTCTCCTCTGGAAAATACTTATGCTCTTGTTTTTAGCCAAGCTTCAATGAGGATTCAAATATTAAGTGTGCAATTATATTTCAGCTGCTTAACTGCAGGCACATTTCTTTTCGCCTACAACAGTACCCTTTTAAATACCGAGCTGATTTGCTGGTGCAGTCAGGTATTTAGATTTCTCAGTACATGCAGTTACCGGCACCAATAAATGTGCCTGCCTTTAACTACCGACACACACTGGAGGCCATTTTGGACATGTAGGATAGAGATAATGATGATGTTAGGAGATCAGAAGTATTTGAGTTTTTACCCTTCTGGCCCGGATATATTTTATAGGTTGGCCTTTAGGTAAGGAGTCTGGTATGTTCTTGCAACATTAATATTTAAAGTTTGCAAGGTTACCTAAAGGATTGTATTTTATTTCAAAGGAAGTTATTTGATATTTTAATACAATTTATCTTCTTAAAGTAGAAATGCACCTAGATGCTCTGGTGAAAGGCATATTATAAACACCTAGATAAATGAAGCCGATGATAATAGATAATTGGGGGGAGGGGAGTTGTGTGACTGTCACTGTTTGTACAATTGGAAATCTCCATTTTTCTAATGCTTCAGGTTGAATGTCATCCTTACCTCAACCAAAGGAAATTGCTGGAGTTCTGCAAATCCAAAAATATTGTCCTGGTGGCTTTTAGTGCCTTGGGATCTCACAGAGATGAGCGATGGTAAGGAAAGAAGCTGACTGTAGAGTCTCATTACTGAAAGAATGCATCTGATTCTCCACTACCTTGATCTTGTGTGGTCATTTACATGGGTGGAAAGTGGGCATAGCATGCTACCAAATTGGCATGGCTGTGTTTTGCACCCATTTGGTACAGATATAAATGATCACACAAGGAGACAGGCAGTGGAGAATCAGGCCCAATATGTTTGCTAAATATCTGATGATAAATGAGTATCGCCTCCAACAGGCTCAGCTCTCACTGATCCTGAGATCAGATACGCTCACTCCGTGTCTGTATTTCCTTACAGGGTGGATCAAAGCACTCCGCTTCTGCTGGAGGATCCAATACTGAACGCTCTGGCCAAAAAATACAACCGAAGCCCAGCTCTAGTAGCCCTGCGCTACCAGCTGCAGCGTGGTGTGGTGGTCCTTGCCAAGAGCTTCACCAGAGAGCATATTGAAGACAACTTCAAGGTAAAGCAGTGGAAAGGAGAAATACCATTAGAAACACTCACAAGTTTGCAAATAGTGGATGTAAAATATCACTGATAGCTCCTGCCCTACATGGACATGGCACCTCAAGTTGAGGACTGACGGCACCTCCATGCACTGTCCACCTGCATATAGCCAAGCTCCTTAGGACAGGGACTGTCATTTGCCCTGTGTTTGTGCAGTCCCTCGCACAATTCGAGCCCAGGTTGGTTAAAGCCACTAGGTGCTACTGCAATATAAAGGTTGCATAGTTATAAAGGGACATTTCAGAGAGAGATTTGTTGGACAAAGACCAAAGTGTTATCCTGTACGTGTTTCTCATTACCAAGTGAAGCTATAAGCAACTCAGGCAACACAAATTAATTCATGCAGAGAGGTTTTGTGCAGAATTTCTCTGCTAATCTAGAGCCAAATTCTGAGGTCTTTACTCAGTTTCTGCTCAGTTGTTCAGTTCAGTTGTTACTTAATCCTGACTTGGGCAAAACTCACATAGGCCTCAGTAAGTAATGATTGGGTGAGAACTTCAGTATCTGGCCTTTGATACACATGCAGCAGCAATGTGCTGGGCCCATAACCCAGAGGTTAGTGGATTAAAATCATCCTCTACTAGGTTGCATTTGGGAGAGGGAGGTTGGTTCAGTAATTGGGGCACTGGACTAGGCTGTGGAAGTCCCAGGTTCCATTCCTTACTCTGCCATGGATTTCCTGTGTGACCTTCAGCAAGTCAGTTACTCTCTCTCTGCCTGCGTGTTGTTTTCCATTACAAATGGGGATGATGATAGAGATGCGTCCCTACCTCCTAGAGGTGTTGTGAGTATAAACACAATAAAGATTGGGAAGTGCTTTGAAATCTACCGATGAAAAATGCCATATAAGAAATAGGTATTATTATTATTTCAGTGACGGACACGCTAAATGACTAGCACGTTAGAACAAATGAAATCCCTTCCTGCTTTATGAAGGGCCAATTTGGTCCATCCCATAGGCAAATCTGATGATTAGCATTTTTTCTCTGACAGGTGTTTGACTTCCAGTTGACAGAAGAGGACATGAAAGCTATTGATAGCCTGAACCAAAACCTTCGCTATGACCCATATCAAGGGTGAGTTGCAGTACTTGGGTTTTAAGAATTTTTAAGTGTGTAGAAATCAACTGTGGGCAATACAGCCTGACAAAAGACAGATTGTGCTAGTCTCGCAGCACAGTCAGGTTTGATACCTTCCTGTAGGTCCTGCAATGCAGCAGGCAGTAGAAATTTGGAATCTAAGGGTATGTCTACACTACGAAATTAGGTCGAATTTATAGAAGCCGGTTTTATAGATATCGGTTTTATACAGTCGATTGTGTGTGTCCCCACATAAAATGCTCTAAGTGCATGAAGCTGGCAGACCGCGTCCACAGTACCGAGGCTAGCGTCGACTTCTGGAGCGTTGCACTGTGGGTAGCTATCCCACAGTTCCTGCAGTCTCCACCGCCCATTGGAATTCTGGGTTGAGATCCCAATGCCTGATGTTGCAAAACAGTGTCGCGGGGGGTTCCGGGTACATGCCGTCAGGCCCCTCCCCCTCCGTCAGAGCAACGGCAGACAATCGATTCACGCCTTTTTACCTGGGTTACCTGTGCAGACAACATACCACGGCAAGCATGGAGCCCGCTCAGCTCAGCTCACCGTCACCATATGTCATCTGGATGCCGGCAGACATGGTACTGCATTGCTACACAGCAGCAGCCCCTTGCCTTTTGGCAGTAGATGGTGTATTATGACTGGTATCCGTCGTCGTCGTACTCCAGTTCAATCAGAGGCACCTGGGCAGACATGCTTTGTCTCCTGGAGACTCAGTCCTGCCAGCAGTCCTATTGAACCGTCTTGACGATGATGGCTAGCAGTCGTAGTACAGTATCTTCTGCCAAGCACCCAGAAGATGCCGAGGGCTATCAGTCATGCTGCACCGTCTGCTGCCAGCTTAAGATGTAAAAAATAGATGTATTCATTTGCTTCCCCCTCCCTCCGTGAAATCAACGGCCTGCTAAACCCAGGGTTTTGAGTTCAATCTTTGGGGGGGCCATTCTGTGTGACAGTTGTTTGTGTTTCTCCCTGATGCACAGCCACCTTTGTTGATTTTAATTCCCTGTACCTGTACGCCATGTTGTCAGTCGCCCCTCCCTCCGTCAGTTTCGCGGGGCTTTTCCTGTCTACCTGGTCAGTGCATCTGAGTTGAGGTTGCTGTCCAGAGCGGTCACAATGAAGCACTGTGGGATAGCTCCCGGAGGCCAATAACGTCGAATTCCGTCCACACTACCCCAAATCCGACCCGCAAAGGCCGATTTTAGCGCTAATCCCCTCGTCGGAGGTGGAGTAAAGAAACCGGTTTAAAGGGCCCTTTAAGTCGAAAGAAAGGGCTTCGTCGTGTGGATGTGTCCAGGCTTAATTCGATTTAACCCTGCTAAAGTCGACCTAAACTCGTAGTGTAGACCAGGGCTAAGGCTCACCATCAGTTCTTTGCTCCCTAGACAGCACAGACTAGAAAGTTCTTGGAGTGTCTCTCAGTAATTGCTTTGGACGCTGAAAAGATCTCGCGGGCAAGAAGCTTTTCCTGGCAATCAGACCTGTCTCAATCATCCTATTAATTCCAGTTATATCCTCTTATACGGACATTAAATAATCCTTGATGATTATCATAAGTGTTGCATAGTTTGCATAATGCATAAATGGAAGCCACATCTTAACTGCTTGCAGTTTGCATGGGGATATTTCATGGAAATTAAACAGCTGTTATCTGCATTTTGTTTTTTAGATGTTTGGACCATCCTGAGTATCCATTTGCTGATGACTATTAAAGAGGATTCATTTGCAATTCCTATGTTGTTAGCAAATAGTAATAATGCTCTATACCTAGGGCCAATTCTAGAGGAAAAATACCATTTATAACACCGTTTCCATCAACTTCTCTACTGTGTAATTTAACCTAAACAGTAAGCAGCTAAATCTCATCCTTAAAATGACTTGTCTTCTTGCTTTTGATAATGCTGAGGGGGGAAAGGGGTATTTTGTATATAATCAGTTCCTGCCCCTGATCTTTCATAAATATTTTGTCTTCATTCTGAGCTGCTAGAACTTAATCCCTGGGAATGCACTGTGCCTCTTGAAAATCTCAGCCAAGCTAGTGTGTAAAAATTTAGTGACTAACCAAACATTAGATGGTGGTATAGCCTTGTTCATTCCAGGATTTTAGGTAGACAAGGTGGGTGAGGTATTATCTTTTATTGGATTGGTTTCTGTAAGTCAATGAGGCAAGCTTTTGAGTTACACACAGCCTACACGACCTGAAGGAGAGCTCTGTGTAAGCTCGAAAGCTTGTCTCTTTCACCAACAGAAGCTGGTCCTATAAAAGATATTACCTCACCCCCCTGGTCTCTCAAACATCAGGTACTCATTTATGGCTCAATCCTGGAGCACTCCCATGGGAGTGGAGGATGCTCAGGTTTGATGTCAGCTAGCATCTCAGTACTATCACTGAGCTCATCAGGCACAAATTTTCACTTAACACAATCCTGCCCTCATAACAAATATGTCACAGTATCTGTCAAACTAAATGAAGAGGAAATAGAAGCTCTGAGCTCCATTTAGAGACTTATTTAGCATATTTCATTTGACTCCATCATAATAATAAAAATTCTCAATACACCCATTCCTTTCGCTTTTCCTTCATTTCTTTTATATGCTGACAAGAAGGGGGTTGGTCACACTGGGTTTATAGCAATCTGCAATTCTCAGGGAAGCAGGTGGTTGGCTCTGCTGCCCTCTGGCGGCTGCCAGGAAAGTCTGACAGGAAAGTGGACTTAAAAGATAAGCAAAAAGAACAGGAGTACTTGTGGCACCTTAGAGACTAACAAATTTATTAGAGCATAAGCTTTAAATCAATAAGATTCAATCTATCTCCCCTTGTAAGTATTCTCACACTTCTTATCAAACTGTCTGTACTGAGCTATCTTGATTATCACTTCAAAAGTTTTTTTCTCTTACTTAATTGGCCTCTCAGAGTTGGTAAGACAACTCCCACCTGTTCATGCTCTCTGTATGTGTGTATATTCATAGATTCATAGATTCATAGATTCTAGGACTGGAAGGGACCTCGAGAGGTCATCGAGTCCAGTCCCCTGCCCGCATGGCAGGACCAAATACTGTCTAGACCATCCCTGATAGACATTTATCTAACCTACTCTTAAATATCTCCAGAGATGGAGATTCCACAACCTCCCTAGGCAATTTATTCCAGTGTTTAACCACCCTGACAGTTAGGAACTTTTTCCTAATGTCCAACCTAGACCTCCCTTGCTGCAGTTTAAGCCCATTGCTTCTTGTTCTATCCTCAGAGGCTAAGGTGAACAAGTTTTCTCCCTCCTCCTTATGACACCCTTTTAGATACCTGAAAACTGCTATCATGTCCCCTCTCAGTCTTCTCTTTTCCAAACTAAACAAACCCAATTCTTTCAGCCTTCCTTCATAGGTCATGTTCTCAAGACCTTTAATCATTCTTGTTGCTCTTCTCTGGACCCTTTCCAATTTCTCCACATCTTTCTTGAAATGCGGTGCCCAGAACTGGACACAATACTCCAGCTGAGGCCTAACCAGAGCAGAGTAGAGCGGAAGAATGACTTCTCGTGTCTTGCTCACAACACACCTGTTAATACATCCCAGAATCACGTTTGCTTTTTTTGCAACAGCATCACACTGTTGACTCATATTTAGCTTGTGGTCCACTATAACCCCTAGATCCCTTTCTGCCGTACTCCTTCCTAGACAGTCTCTTCCCATTCTGTATGTGTGAAACTGATTTTTTCTTCCTAAGTGGAGCACTTTGCATTTGTCTTTGTTAAACTTCATCCTGTTTACCTCAGACCATTTCTCCAATTTGTCCAGATCATTTTGAATTATGACCCTGTCCTCCAAAGCAGTTGCAATCCCTCCCAGTTTGGTATCATCCGCAAACTTAATAATCGTACTTTCTATACCAATATCTAAGTCGTTAATGAAGATATTGAACAGAGCCGGTCCCAAAACAGACCCCTGCGGAACCCCACTCGTTATGCCTTTCCAGCAGGATTGGGAACCATTAATAACAACTCTCTG